GGTGATATTTCCAGGGGGTTTGGAGGCTGGTGGGAGCTCCTGTTTGATGTGACTGGAAGGCAGGACTGGGGGGGGGAGGGGGGGGTGGTCAGAGCTGAAAAGAAATGAGAAAACCAGATCAGTTGATTTATCAGGAGACTGAGAACCACAGCAGACGGGAGACTGAAGGGCTCCAATAACGGATAATTCAACAGTAACGAGACACAAACGCTGGGGGGGGGCACACTCAGGGGTCAAATATATACCACCATTAGAGAAAAAACCTGAAGTCTGTCATTTTTAAAGAACACTGATTTCCAAATCTCATGTAGACCTGCAGTGGACCCTCCCGCCCAGCAGGGGGCGAGTGAGCAGATTAATTAGATATTATTGTCTTTTACTGCGCTAACCATCGAGCTTCAGTAGCATGGATGTATTAAAGAGCGCTGGACACAGAAGTGATTTAAATTACTCACACCGTCAGTTAACTTGAAAGGACATAACATGATTTCATCGTACGACTTTCCAAATGTTATCGGACCAAAAGGATTAAACTCTGGTCGCTGCTGTCATTACACAGTTTGTGTTTGTACAGATGTTTGAATGCATCTTTAACTGATCTGACTCATTCATTCTCACCTGTTCAACTTTGCTTTGTGAGTTTTGGAGGTGAAAGTTACCATAAATGTCACTTTGTCTGCTGATATTTAATCAACTTCATATAGAACACAGAGTTTATTCCCTGTTTAATGTAACTTTACAGCTTTAACCACCACTGTGGGTTCCACTCCCTCTGCTGTGACGCTCACACACTGAAATGTGGACACACACCTGTCACAGGTGAGGTGAGGGTTGACCACAGTGTCAGCTTTAATTACAGCTCAGCAAACCTTCAAACACAAACAGCTCATGAGGGATCCACTTGCGGGTTTCCTCTGCTGTGTAAACAGCGGCTGTGAGTCCTCCTCGCTGTGTGCCGCTCAGGATCTCACACCAGACTCCATTCATTTATTTCACGTTTTTAAAGCAGAGGAGGATGAGACCACCTGGCTCTCGGTCTCGTCTCTGTGCTGCTCCCCTCTGGGCTCTGTGACAGAATATATGCTCTCTCTGGCCATCGACTTCATTGCAAGAGCAGCTACTTAAACTCTTCCAGCCCAGTGACCAGGCTCACGGATATAGAAGGAAGAACTCCTTCATCTCCGCTCCAGATCACTGCTGACAGTCCCGACCGCTGCTGCAGCGCCAGTGTTGCTGTATAAACAGAGAGAGAGAGTTTGCAGAGTCCAGATAGGAACTCTGGTCTGGCCCCGCACCCGGCGCCGAGTCCTGGACTGTTTTTTTCCTGGTTCCAACTTGATCCATTACATAACCAGGCAGCCACAGAGGAGCACAGGGCGTAAGCAGAGCTGTCATTCCCATTTACACCCATCATGTCCCCTGTTCTCTTCCACCTCCCTCGGGCGTTTCTGTATTCTCTCTGCATTCATGACAAGAGGAACAATACTCGTACATTTCACTGTGACAGCACAGGGACTCCAAGTCTCACCGAAGTGGTCCAAAGTGGGGATGAATAAATCACTTTATTGCTCACAGACAAGAATTACTACCCAGTTATTACTTCAAAGTGAAGTTCAAGAGGTGCATGATGGAGGATTTGAACCTTTTACATTGTATAAAAACCAACCAGACTTAATGTTTGCACAGTGCAAACAGTTCTTTCATGATAAGCTTCTATATGTGCCATTTTCTGTGATTTTTACATACTGTCATGCCAGACTCCCTTAAAGAAGTTGCTAATTCTATATTTGAGTGCTCATCAGCCACAAAAGACACACACAAAACATGTGATTCCAGGTTTTGACTGAATTTGTAGGAGTCAGTCTCCAATTCGGGCCCAGTTAAAGCAGCATAAAGCACCGCTAAACCTTTCACACTGGAAGTCTACTGAATTACGCACAGCGGGGGCGTAGGTCAGCAAGCTCTGTGACCCTGTTGTGACTTCAAATCTGACTGAATTCAAACGCTCTTTGGTGATGTTTAAGTACGCCGAATTCAAGATGAGCTTCTACTGATGGACAAACGTATTTATTGTCCACGTATTGATCCGAGTTTCACATATAAACTAGTCTGAATGTAAAGAGGAGTGAAGCTGTGCCCGGAGCGGAGGAAACGGGCACATCGCGGCCGGAGTCTGGCATGTAAACACACCGCAGAGAGCCGTCACGTCCCCCGCCGCCGACCTTTGGACCAGAGTGAGTGGACCCGCTTATAAACACCGTTTTCTTCCATTAATTGTTATCAGGAGAAGGAATTGATTTTATATACGACTCACCTTTCAGAGCCGAGTGTGGCAGAAACTTTCTCTGGATGTTAGCGGACCACGGTGGCAGTTCGGAGGAAAACTCCCGAGTAATTCCTTCTGTTCATATTCCAGATAAAATCGATCTTCTTGGAGCAGATTATTCCGGGATTATTCTCTTCCAGCTGTGTTGGATTACACTTTAATCCGGTTAAAGGTTGAACATGAACGTTGGATGTATTTTAGGACTTTAGGACACTTTGCTGTCTGACGCTCCTCCTGGTTTTCCCTCCTCGCCGTGAATGCCTCATCCCGTCTGCTGCGCTCTCCTCGCTGCGGACACGGTGTCAATTTACCCATAAGGATAAACAGAGCTTCCGGTGGAGACTTTCAACATAAAACACAGACAATACGATATCTACTAAAAACAATTGAGTACATTTTAAATCACTTGCTTTGTGGTGTGTTAGTGGAGTGCAGTATATTTGTAATTAAAAGGATTTAAATTGATATTTAATTAACAGAAAAATAAATAAATAAATAATGAAATTGTATTAATTTTCACATTAATAATAACACCATAAAGGTTTTGTCACAGGCCTGAGCTGAGAAATTAATAAATAGATGAATATTAAAGAAATGAGTGAAACTAAAACAAAACAACAAAAAAATACTAAACAGAACTTCCATCTTAGACTTTCAAAATAAAACTTAGACAATAAGATATCTACTTAAAAAACTTTAACTGAAGATTTTAAATCACTGTACAGTTAACTTGTAATACCAACACAGGCCTTTGTAATATATTACACAGAGCCAGAATCATAATTAATATATGATTAGTAATGAATTATTTCATCAAGAGAAATTTAATAAGGAAATATAAAAATGACCTGGGGTCAAATTGAACACATTCATTGAAATTAACATAACTGTACATTTACATTTAATTAGGGATCTATTTATCTGATGTATTGATCTGTTGTGGTCACATTTAGACTCAATGATCTGCGTTCAATGAGAAAATTATATGTTTGTAAAAATGAAGTTTTATGAAATAATGAAACAATTTGTTGATTTCTAACGCAACCTTTACATATTTCTATTCAAATCTCTTCATTTGGGCCGTTTACAAGAAAATATTGATAGTTTGTGATAATATATTTCACTTCAGGTTCTGGGAAATTCTAATTTGTCTGATGTTTCACAGAACGAATGATTATTGGATTCATCCAATTAATGTCTGTATTAAACTAAAGTTTTTTTTTCACCTGAGCTGTGAAAAGATAATGTAACACTCTTATTTTGGTGAATGGACGAATAAGTAATAATAAATATCAATAATAATAATAATAAGTAATGTTTGTGTGAGAAACTGCTGCTGCTCAGAGTTTTTAATATCTTTTTTTAAACCTGCATATGAATTTAAAATGTTAAATTAATAAGAGAAACATTGACAGTCATGCTTTTATTTTGAAGAATCAGTGTTTTTCCTGTTGTGTCGTTCAGTAACTTAATAAAATATATTCGACCCTCCCTCTAATTTATTCTCTTTCCTTTTCCACAAACTGTTTTTATATTCCGGACATTTTAATGTTTTAAAACGAAACAAATTATTAAAAATTATTTTTCTGTCTCCACTTCTGAATATTAAAACTTTGTCAGGAGAATATTTTTACTTAATCAGAGTTTCAGCAGTTGTAAACTAAATATCTGACATATTATAATTATTATTATACAATTTATCCATTCAATATTTTAACAAAGACTGTACACTGTTAAAATAAATAATAATATCAATAAAGTTACAAAAATATCCTGTGAATTTAGATAAGGTAAAATAAAAATCTGTAACTGTAAATAATCATAAAACTACACATTATTTAAATTAAAATTCCTTTTTTACGTAAAAAGATTAAAATACATTTGCAAATCTATAATTTTTCCCAGATATTTACTGTTTATTTAACAGTATTAAACTGTTTAATTCCAGTTTAATACTGTTATTATATAAAATTAGTGACATTAACAGTAAAAAAGTTTTTATTGTGTCATTTTAATGGATTTGTTTGTTAATTGACAGATACTTCTGTTTTTACAACACAAACATTAAAAACAGGGAAATTATCTCTAGAGACCAAAAGGATGTAAACATGTTTATTTCTGCTGTAAAGTTTTAATATGAGTCCTTATGGAGACTCTGCTGGAGCCAGCCTCTAGTGGCCGTTAAAAGGAACTGCAGAGGTTGGTTGTTTGTATTTGAACCATTTATACATTACTTTTACCTCATTATTAACTAAATTAAATAAAATAAACAATGTGTAGCATTTATCAAATACTTTTACTTAATTTAACCGTTAATTCATCACTTTAAGCTTTTTTATAAGTATTTTCTCAACTTCTTCAGTTCACAGCTCGTTTTTATTTTGTTTATTTAAAAACTTAAAAGTTCAAATTTTTCTTAAAACAGAAATTTTGAGTTTTCTCTCCTGTTTTTTTACATTTAACATAAAAAATCTTTAAACTCTTAATAATCGCTGTTGTAATTTACACTTCACATATAAAACACGATCAGCTCAGAAAATAAGACACAGTTAAAGTTTTGATTTTAAACTTTTCTCCATTATTACGTCATCAATGAGCAAAGAGTCAACAAAAAATATTAAAATTATCAAAATATTTACTTCACTGCAAAAGTGAAACATTTACTGTAAATAAATGACATCAGTGCAATAAAAAGAACAAAAGACAAAAATAAAATCACAGATTATTAAACAAAATCTGCTTCAACATTCGACTGCGGCTGGATTTCACATTAAAGACATTAAAGAGGAAAAACTCTTTATACAAACTCTAATATTTACATATAAATACATAAACTGAAACTTTACAATGTATTTATCAGATAATCTGAACTGCTGAGAAAACTATAATTTAAAGTTTCTTCTTTAGAAAAACTTAAATTGTTCAGAAAACTCATTAAAGTGAAAAACAATAAAAAATAATTAAAAATTCAGGTTCACTGTGATCAAAGTTTGAAATACAGATTTAAGTTTTTATAATATAAATTATAAATTATAAGTTTTCTCAACAGTAATGAGAGAAGTTAGAAAAGTTTACATTAAAACTTTAAAGTCACACAAACTGAAATTTGTAAGTTAAAAACAGTAGTTAAGTAGCTTAACTTGGTATTTTGTTTTTACAGTACATGAATAATTAAAAGAATTAGTCGACCTAAAATGTTTTTACTGAACTAATTAAAACTCAAAGATTTAAGTTTTCCTTTTTTACAGTGCAGAAAAGTTTTATACAGTTTATTTGGTTCTTTATCAGGATCAAAATCTTTAAACTTTCAGTTTATTTGGTAGAAATATGAGACAATAAAACTGTAACTGCAGATATTAAACTGTAGTTTCCATTTAATCATAAAGCTGTATGGAAGCTACGTAGTGCCAATATTCAGTCAAAAATAATTAAACTGAATGTTTGTGGAGAATAAAGTTCTGGTCCGTCCCGTCGCTCAGCCCTTCCTCTGGTACAGCCGGAGGACCCGACGGCGGTGCAGCGCCTCCCACAGGCGTCTCTCCATCTGCATGTCGTGGTTGGCGAAGAACTTCAGCGGCTTCATCACAGAGTCGTAGTAATGGTC